GATGGAGAACGGGGAAATCCCCTTTGCCCGGACACTCGTGAGTGCACGAGTTTGGTCTCGGTTCTCTCGCGCCTCTCTCAGTGCCTCTGTCGGGTTTATGTACATGTATGTGCTATAGCAGCCTTCCAGCGCCTAAAGGGGTGACAAGGAACCTGGAGAGGGGCTTTGGGCAAGGGATGGAGGGACAGGACAAGGGGAATGGCTTGAACCTGCCAGAGGGGAGATTGAGATGAGCTCTTGGGCAGAAGCTCTTCCCTGGGAGGGTGCTGAGGCGCTGGCACAGGGTGCCCAGAGAAGCTGGGGCTGCCCCATCCCTGGCAGTGTTCAAGGCCAGGTTGGACACAGGGGCTTGGAGCAACCTGCTCTACTGGAAGGGGTCCCTGCCCGGGGCAGGGGTTGGAGCTGGAGGAGCTTTAAGGTCCCTTCCAACCCAACCCATGTATTCTGTGAAGACACCAAGAACCATTGGAGTATCGGTGACCCTCAGGTGTCTTTATCAATACCCTCCCTCTGATGGTCACTGGGGGAGGCGTCGATAGTTGTAACAGGAACTGAACTGTTGCTGCTTTGGATCCTTCCAGGCTTGTCGCCAAAGGAGGCCTGGCTGGGGGGGCTGTGTACGGGGCCTACGACCAGGGGCTGCTGGGCAGTGGCACACAAGGTGCTGAAGCCTTCAGGAAAGCTCAAGCAGCGCTGCCTCCAGCCATCCAGGAGTGGATAAGTTACGCGGGCTGGGAGGTAAGGGCTGTGCAGCCACACAACCGTGTCCTCTGAATGAGGGGGAGAAAACACTGGGGTGATGTTGCGGTTCCAGTGATGCTGGTGGGAGTTTTGCTGTTGAAACATTGGAAATGTTTTGAGGGGGATTGAAAGGGAGAGAGGATAAAACTTGAAATTTAGGGGAGAGACAAGGAGACAGCCACAGAGAGGGGTTTTCAGGAGCACCCAGATGGGGAGTCCTGCCTTCTGCCCCTACCTTGTACTGGGGAGGGAGCAGGGTCAGCTTTAAGCCTCATATCTGTTCCCTTATGAGGCTTATGGAGAGTTGGCACCCAAGTGTCTTTGAGACCTGAGGTCAAGGTGATGTGGATCCTGTTACAAGTGAAACCCCTCGAGTGCTGATATTTTCTCTCTCTTCTCCCTTTCTAGCTCCCACCCATTCCAAAACTTGAGTTTTCCCCTTCTGATTTCTGGAATAAAGGTAAAATAACTTCTCACCCAACTGTGAAAGGAGCAAGGGCCAAGAGGGATGTAGCTTACAGTAGTCGTTTCAGTACTGTGCTAAATGGAACGGTGGGGAAGGAGGGAATAGATGTTACAGCCTGGTGGAAGGAGCGTTGGGACTAAGGAAGCTCCAGGTTTTGCCACCGACACACTTGAGTGACTTTGGACTTGGATTTCATGTAACTGTGAGGGAACACGGTCCACAAATACTGTGACATGTCCAATGTCACCCATGGAGTCTGTGGCAGGGCTGGAAATACAATGGAACTTAGCTCAGTCCTTTGGTTCAAGTCTATCCCTTACACAGGCCCTAAGCTGGGATTTCCCTGTGTCACAAGTGCTGCTGAGCAATAAAGCTGCACCTAAACCGAGGCTCACTCAGGCCTCAGTGTGCTTGAAAGCTTCTGAGCTAGAGCTGGATCTTTGTGTTTAAAGAGATCTCCAGTGCTAGAGTAACAGTTGGAAATGTGGCTGGAACGCTGCTCCGGGGATAACTCTGCTCTGCTCTCCCTGCAGGAGTGCGGATGGTGATGTCAGCCTTGTCCGTGGCTCCCACCAGGGCCTGTGAATACACTGCAGAAGGCTGGAAGTACGTGAAGGACCTTGTCAAGTAGTGTCCTGGTTCTCCAGGGCTGTGATTCTCTCTGTCCCGGGCTGGCTGTGGGATGAGGCCGAGCCCAGCCCTCGGGAGGGCTGCAATAAAAGACTTTGCAATTTCCGCTGGTATCTGGGTTGGTTCTGGCCTGGGACTGGGATAATTGTGTTCTTTTACCAGTGGTCATGAAGTGAGGGCCCTGCTCTGAAGCTGCTGAACTGAACTGGTTGTGTTGTGTGTTGCTCCTGAAGGTGAACACCCTCTGATGCAAACCAAGCCAACAAGAGGTAACAAGACAAGCTGAGGAAGGAGTGCCACACGGAGCACATGAGGTGAAAGCTGCTTTTGTGGCTTGTCACACAGCTGGGAGCAGCCACTACTAGTTGCAATACTTGTTGATGAGTGTGTAATAGAAGGGAGTTGGTAAGTTTGTGATGGGAGATTACCATTAGCTGCAGTAGCCTGAGTGCTGCACCACACCAGGCTTTGCTTCTCAGGCAGGATTAGTCCACCTCTGATTGCAATGACCTTGCTTTTCTCAACATAGAGGTTTTGTGCTTCACTTGGTTTCAGTTGAAGGAGCAGAAGGGGTGGGGCTGGGCTGGAAGGTGTCCTTCCATTGCTGCAGTCAATAAGGGCAGTAAGGCAGGCATTAGCAGTGTTAAAAATCACTTATTTGGTTTTGATTCCCTTAACAGACATTTAAAACCATCTGAATGACTTTGGCTGAAGGATGAGAACTACTTCGAGGGCTGCAGCCTGCAGAAGGGTTTCTTAAACTCAGGGGAGTTGCATTTGCTGCTTGAAGAACAATGTCCTCTGCATTTCTGAGTCAGTTTTGCAATGCCAGGTTCAAACTTTGCCCACTGCAACCCACTCCCTCACGGAGGGTACTCAAGTTTTGGTACTTCACCTTTGAAAGAAACCCCTGTGGTTTAATACATGACTAAATTCAGGTTTCCAGGGGCTGGTGAAACAAAGCAATTAACTGTAAACTGGCTTTTATTTATGGAAAATGGAATGCTTCATTAACAAACATTTTAAATGGGATATGAACAACACATTACAAAACAAACGAGTTCACATTGGGTTGTGTGAAATAAGATGGTAGCAGCTTAAAAAAAATGACACTTAGAGTAGCCCACAAGTTACAATGAATGGTAACCCTGGGGAACAGCCTCATTTCAGTTGCCACCTTGCATTAAAAACTAAAGACATTCAGTAGCGACGGTTGAAACGAGGGTCGTTGGGTCTGTTTGCTCTCTCCTGGCCAGCAAAGCCTTCCCCCTGCATTCCTCCTCCGTGCATCATCTGACTTTGGTTGCCACCTTGCATGAAACCTCCACGCCTAGAAAGGGATTCAGACACATTAATTGCTGCTGGGACTCTTGATAGGATGGGGACAGAATGGCTGTTGTAATGGGCTTGATTGAATTGATGATAGCAGGTTGAGGGAAAGGCTGTTCTCTTACAGCTCTCGGTGTGGGTTTGCACTCTTCAACATTAAAACCCCGGGAGCATTTCATCAGTCCTTGACGTTAAATCAGGTAACTGATGCTCGCATCAAATGCTTCTTTGGCCAATTTAAGTAGAAGAGATGCCCCTTGAAAGGAAAACGCTTTGTTCCTTCTGAAGTTCTTACCCTGACATGCCTCCACGATGGATCACATGGCCAGGTCTGCCTCTACCTCCACCTGAAAAAGTTCAAATGCTTCCTTTAGCTCCGCAGCAGTAAGTTTCCCTCGTTCCCAAGGACAGCAGTTCCTGCCTTTCATGCTTTACAGAGCACAACTGCAGCTCACCTTGCCATCGCTCATGATCCCGCCCCATCATCCCTCCATCCACACTGCTCTGCCATGAACGATCTTGATGTCCTTCAAACTTGCGGCCGTGATCTCCCCAGTCCCGTCCATCCCTGCGGGAGAGGGGAATTCATCCTTCTCACATGAGCCAGAGCACAGACAGTGTTTTACTTTTAAAGGGAAAGCAGCAAAATCCCGACAGATCTTCAGTTCAGTGCACTGACCGTGACTGGGGAGGTATCCCTCTGCTTTCACTCATCCTTCTGTCGGATCCGTAACTACCCCAGCTTTCCCGGGAATCTCGTGAGTGACGGTCTGGTCCTCCGTGGCGCTCATCTGGATAGTGCTGAAAGACAAAGATCACTTAGAGGGCTGCCCAAACCAGACTCTTTAGTTGGTTTAAGTTGCTCTGCTGTCATTACTCCATCCCAGAACCATTTAGGATGGAGATCACCTAGTCCAACCTCCCCGCTCCCAGCAGGATCAGCCAGGGCAGGCTGTCCAGAACAGTCTCCTATCAGGTTTTGAGTATCTCCACAGCTTCCCCATGAAAGTTCTACTGTTTGAGCACCTCCATAGTTTAGTCTTTGAACTAAATTTCAACTTATTAAAGAAAACAAGACAATCTGGTTGTCCAGAAGGTCTTTCTTTCTTAACCACTGCCATTTAGTCTGACACCCACTACAGAAACCCAGGTTGTAAGGAGTTAAGATGTTTCTGTAGCTTTATAAAGCAACTTACTTGTCCATCCCGATCTCCCATCATTGTCCTGGATCCATCTCTCCTACAAACAGACAATTACAATCAGACTGTGGTAGTAGAACATGCAGCAGCCTCTAAAAATCCATCTATGTAACACCACAGGTGAAAGATCCTGCTTCCATGGAGTGCCAACATCATCTACAGGAGGCACAAAGAGCTGGAACTTGGGGAGACCATGCCACGCTTTGGATTCCTAAAGAACCCAAGGTATAAACCAGAATATTCTCAGGAATATGGCAGGTGCCTGTAATATTCTTTAGGATTTTCTCGGAGCCAGCCTGCCAGAAGGCTTAAATCATGGCACTCTACAGAGCTCTTCATGGGTATGTAAGAAAAGAAGTCTGCAGCCACTAAGCCACACTTCCAAACTGAAATGCAACCTAAACACACAGTAAAGGCAGGAACATGTGCCATTACATCCACTTTTGTCTTCCAGGGAACACCGTGGAGGTCGGACACCAACCTGTCTATTGAGTGGTCTTGGTACCGGCCCCGATCCCTGTGGTCGAAGTCGTGGAAGCGATCCTGGCGGCTGAAGTCTGAGTGGTACCTGTCATTCATTGCCATTCGTTTTGCCTCTGGCCAGTACGGATCATCTCTCCTGAGAGAAGGAATATGCTTGTTTCAGTCAAGGTAATCACTTTTGATACCGTTTCCCCCATTCCAAGCCAGAAGAAGAGAGTCTGAGTGGATAGTCTGACTGGGGCTATCAAACACGCTCATGTCCGTGCCCTCCCTAGCTGCTGACTGATGGGAGCTGAGAGCACATGGAGAACTCTTTATAGCACAGGCTGATGAGCCAGAACCTGGCAGCATTTTGCACTCGCACCCTTTCTCTCGCTGGCTTTACCTGCCATCGATGTCATATGGTCTCCTCATGGCAGAGCGCCGCTCCTGCTCGTAGCGCAACTGCTCGTGCTGGCGCCGCAGCTCTTCTCTTTCCCGCTGGATGCGATCCTGTTCCCTCCTCCTCTCATGCTCTATGTGCATTCGTTCCCTTTCCAGTCTTTCTCTTTCCATCCGTTCCCGTTCGAGACGCTGCCGTTCGATTTCCAGCCTCTCCCGAGCAATCTCCAGCCTTTCTCTTTCCTCTCGTTCCCGGATAGTCTGCAGGTGCTGCTGCCTCTCCCGGCGCTCCCGGGTGCTGTTTGAACACACACAGAAGGTCACAGATCTGATACTTCCACAAAGAAAGGAAAGTTAGAATGGAAAAAGAGGAGAAAAGGAAAAACCAGGGAAGGAAGCACCCGAGGCACTTCCCTGCTCTCTTACCGGCGCTGCTCGGCCTCCCTCATCTTCCTCTGGGCTTTGATTTTGTCGAATGGCACAATCCCTTGTCTCTCCCTGCTCTCTGATTTGCGATCCTGGCTCTTGATGCTCTGGATTTGGTATTGAAGTAGATGAACTCAATGGAGTACATTTACAAAAGGACAACTATCCCAAGCAATACTCTGAGCTCCATTTCCACTGATCCAGATCCCGGTCCCCTCACTTTTCAAACAGGCTGTTGTTCTTTTAGCGTTACAGACACACCGTAACAGTGCTACTGCCCACATGTGTTTGGGGGTTTCCAGTGCTGAATGGTATCAGTTCTGCAAAAGGTATTTTACTGATTACCATCTAAATCCACATTCTAGTAACTCCAATTGGACAAACCAGGAAGACCAGTGCAGGTTCCATGTCACTTGGCAGGATTCAGTACTTGTTTCTAAGGGAGACTGATAATCTTTCCCATGCAGAAACATGACTTACTCGGTCTTTTGATGTAGTTGATGTTTTCACACTAATAACAGGTTCTCCTTTGGATTTATCCATTACTACTGTTCTCTCTGTTCCTTTACTTCCTAAATCCATCAGAGGTTGAGGGGAAAGACATGGAAAAAAACAATGAAACTACGTAACTAACCCTACTCATTGCTATGCCAGACATTGTGCTCTCTAAAATGTCAAGACAGGCATTTAACCCTCTCTTCAAAAACCATTCTCCACTACACCTATTCAAGTGCTTCTGTTGAGCACAACACAATGTTAAACTCCCTCCCCTCCACCTCTTTTTATCTTCTGGATTTCCCATTAGGAACCAGAACTAATTCCAGACCATTGGCAGTTCTTGGAAAAGAACCACCTACAGTGAATTATTCATTCTTCACCCTATCTTCTACTCCATGAGAAACAGAACAGCCAAATTACCTGACTTCATAGTTTTAGGTTGATCTGATGAGCCTGACTTCAGTTCCTCTTTCTCTTTTTTTTCCTTTTCATCTTTGTCTTCTGTCTTTTTAGATTCATCTTTTTGGTCAGATTTCTCATCCTTTTTAATGCTGCCAGGTCTATAGAGAGATATTGATATAAGTTAGACTAATAGGAAGAAGTGAAAGGAGAAATGCTAGCAACACCAAAACAAAGCAGCAAACACCTTTGGACAGGGGATTTCCAGAACAGTACCTCTCAGTGGCTGTTTCTTTCTTTGCTTCACTCTCTTTTTTATCACTTGGCTTCTTCCCAGCGGGTTCGCTTTTGGCCTGAAATGTATTTTGCACATCAGCAGCTGAGAATGTGGCCTCAATCATTGTACAATGCGGTGGTAGGGGGATACCTTTGAGGATCAGTACTCACTTTTTCTACAGAGATTATCTTCCCATGTAACTCTGTTTTGTGGAGGTGTGTGATGCACTTGGTGGCTTCCTCAGCTGTTGACATGGTGACAAAGCCATAGCAGCGAGCACCGGGGCTGCGAGCGTTGGTCACCACTTTGGCACCAACCACCTTGCCGAAAGAAAAGAGGGATTTATACTCCCTGGCACAAGTGTTGTCACAAGGAACATTACAAAGGTTCTACTAGTCCTTTCAGGCAGACTCAAAGCTGTGCCACACTTCATCCATTTTTGTACCTATTTGTAAAAGCCACATTTAAGTCCTAGAGTATTTTCAGTAGTTCAGGTTGTTGCACAAACTGGTTTCTTTTACTCCAATCTGATGACAGGAATCTTTAAATAGGCTTCAAAGTTTGGATAAATATCCCTATTTATGTCTCGTGACATTAACTTTCTACTGAACTAACTCTTTCCATCTCCCATCTGACAGGGAGATTTAACTTGCCAGTTGCTTTATCGTTAATAACAGCTGCAGGCACCTCCCCACAAACCAAGACCTATAAAGTGCATTTTCTTTGCTTGTAAGTGAGTGACAGCAGGAAAAAGTGGACATTCAGCATGTACTTTGGCCATTTTTTCCTTGCTACCCCCCAGTATTTTTGATCAGTTCATTCCTTTCACTGGTATTTTCAGTCTCAGGAGCTTAAGAAGTGTTATTAAGACAGTTTCAAGTGAAAAGAAACCCTTACCTTCCCGTATCTGCTAAAGAGATTCTTCAGATCTGTAGCTCTGGTAGTGGAAGCCAGGCCACTCACCCAGAAGTTTCTACCAGAACCACTGGCAGTGCGACCTGAAGAAGAAAACAGATCAACCCAAACCTCCAAACCCTTGTTATTCCAACAACTCCTTTGGATTTAGAAAGGAGCAGTTCCACAAGTCTTTTGTACTTTCATATCAGAGAGCAAAGGAAACGCAACGCAGAACATTCTCCCCTCAGGATTCACATTCCTGAAGGCAAGAAGTACTGAAAGTGCAAAAACTGGAAGCTGAACTACAAGCTTTGATGCATGCAGCAGGATGTTATGTCTTGCCTCCAAAGGAATGCTGATGGGATGCAGGCTAACCATGGGAAGACATCCACCATAAAGCAAGGAAGTTTCCTCTCCTATTTCTGTCCACACGGATTCCACAGTTGGGGTAAGAGCCTCTGTGTGACTTTAGTTACAGGGGTTAGAGAAGACCCAGCTTCCTCCAACTGTGCAAGAGCTACAGAACACCAAACAAATCTGGCATCTAAACTAGAAAGGTCCTTTGGAAGAAGATCCGCAGAGGCAAGGACATTATCAGACACCCAAATTCCTGAAGGTGGTTTGGAATGAGGACTCCAAGGAGAGATTTCCCAGTCCACAAAAAATACACTGACGTCGTTGGGCAAAAGACACCATGTACAAACCTTTGAGATGTTCTGAAATAAGAGAACAAAAGATTCCAGACTGTCAGGAAGAGGGAAACAGACCCCAGTGGAGCTGCCTGTGAGGTGAAGTAGCTTACAGAGACAGGTATAACCCCGGATCTTAGAAGCAGCAGCTGACAATGAGTTCAGTCTGTGCTGTAAGTTGCAATTAAAACCAGATTCCTCCTGTTCAGTGGATAGACACAATTAATAATGACTTTCTTGCCTATGATAGGAATTGCAGGAACTTCTAGACCTTCAGTGCTCAACTATGAACCTGCAGTATGTAAGGAGAATGCTAGCAATCAGTTGCTCTGGTTAGGTAGGAGGGAAGAGAGAGGTGGGGTGAGCTGCAGAGACTCAGCAGCCCGATATATGAGAAGGAAGAATTATGATGAAAAGAAGGAGCAGCAGACAGAGCTGATCAAGACATTTTCATCTTGGTTATGATGCATCTTTGCACCATGAGCAGGATCCGTGTGAACAAAGGTTTAACAGCATCCATCTAACCTGAAGACAATATTAAGCTTGAAGTTTCTGTGGTATTTGAATACACGAAGACAAGGTTCCAAACGACTTCAGTAAAACAGAGGAAGTTCTGAAGAATCCCAACTGTAAAGCAAACACGACTGAGGAAGGCACCTGACTCACTACCACAGTGGCAAGAATCTTCAGTGCTATGCAGGACGTAATGTGTTACCAGCTACCTCTGAAGACCAAGACATAAAAGGCTACAAGAGATACCCTTAGAAAATGCGTAACAGGAAAACTGGGGGTTTTGCATAAACAGATTTTAAAAACAAACAGAAAGAGGTGAATCTTTTATGGTATTTAACACCTGCAGCGTGCTTTTCCTCTGAAATAACCCATCCAATACAAAGCCAGATTCTCCAAGCAAGCATTTAAGGTCTGGTTTGATAAAAGAAACCTACCTTTCTCATCCTTTGGGATTATCTTTGTATCTCTGTCCTCCTCACCGGGGCTAAAGACAAAACACCACGTTATTTCAGTCCGAAAGAAAAGAGAGTCGCTAGAACTTATGAAAAAAATGCTAAAATTAAATACCTACCAGAAAATATGTTGCAAACGAAAACACACCTTTGTATACTTGATTTTAAGAAATCTGACAGGAAATAAGGAAGTCAGATTCTTAAAGAGACTTATAAAGACGTTTACGAATAAGAGTAATTTAAGAAAACAACCTCTGAAGG